TTGTATCTTTATTTTATGTCGCATGATGTACATTTTGTTTTCGTGTGAGAAGGAAAGCAGCGGTTAACACACACTAATCACAACACTTTTTATGGTGCTGGTGGTTTTTTTAATTTTATTTTGTCCTCTATACTTGTTTTCCCCGTACCGCTAAACTTGTCGGGAAAAGCGATCGCCAAAAAGAACGTGTATTGTTTAAAAATTACGTAGCACAATGTATGGGCAGTTATTACTCTTACCACAGCTTTGATATCGTGTTGATGTAACAGCCTCGTCTTTACAATTTGTGTAGACTTCTCTTTGGGAAAGATTAATTTATTTTCCCTATAGTAGTGCATGTTACTGGCTCTTAGTAAATCAAAAAAATATTTTTGTAACTTTCCTTCCGCACGGTGGGCGCGCGCTTGTAGAAAACTTTTCACAGCCTCGTCAAGAAATTCGGTGGCGCCGGCGCCAAACAGTTAGAGGGGCCCAAGTGCCAACGCGGCCCCACCGGTAGCATTGAGGCGCCCGCCAACGCACTGGGCGCCGTGCCGGCCGTGCCGTGCTGCGCCTCGTCGAAGGTTGCTGACCCCCGCGCCGGCAGGACAGGCGTGGACAAAAAAAATACATCGGAAAAAAAATAGTCGGGACCTGCGGCGCGGCGCGGCACGGCGGCGGCGCGGCGTCTTCGCGGAGGTCGCGTCCGGAAAGGGGGTTCCCCCTGAGTGACGGCTCGCGGTGACGGCCGCGGCCCGAGTAACCTGGGCTGGGGCGCGGGGCGGACGAGCCTTCGGCTGGCCGTCGAGCTTGCTCGGCCCCGACTGTCGACTCGGCCTGCTTGGCGTGGGCGGGGGACCCAGGCCATAGCCCGGCCGCGGCCCAAAGTGTCTAACGGTGTCTGCTGATTCGGACTGGGGTTTTCATTTTATTTTTATTTTTTTTCCTGCCGTCGGTCGCGGTGAGACGTGGCGCTGCGCAGCGAGGGCGACGGCAGCGCAATCCTCTTCACCGCGCGGATCAATCTGAATAATCACCTCGATGAAGTCGTGCTTGAACTGCGTGACTTTTAGAGGAGGTACAAACAATTATTTGGGTTTCAAAAGGACTGTTAGGTTGCCTCTTAATATTTGTACCCCATGGTTCAAACGTCACGGGGTCTCTGTAGACGGCTGTGATTGTCCTTTTGGGACCACATAATATTTGTATCCCCCCCTCAAGGTCACACGTTGTGTGGTGTGGAAACGACCCCATAATCACCTCAGTCACCTGCTGCGCTCTGCGCCGCGCCGCCGTCTCCCTCGCATCGTGGCGCGTCGCTCACGGCGCCTCAAGGTTCCGGGCGGCGGCTGCATCTCCCGTAAAGCGCAGTGGCTTTGTTTCCTTTTATGATTGTGCGGCCAGCTCGCGTGACCAGGCCGTGCGTAGCAGCTGTTAAACTAAAAAAGAAAAGGATAGAGATGTGCGGGAAGGGAGGGAGGGGGGAGGGGAGAGAAGCCCGATGTGGAAAGTTATCTTCATTGTTTTCATCGTTTAGTGCTCCATTGTTACCATTATTGTCGTGTGACTCTGCTGGGGACATGTTTGTCCGTGTCGCACAACTCGCGTTAGTTTTACAATTCGCCGATGTGATTTTGCTCTTAAAGTCAATATTTCTTTTGTACAGTGTTTTTACGTGTTGCTATATTGCTACATTCGTTATTTTCATTTCGGTAACCAGACTATATCGCCTGCATTGTAAGTACATCGCTAAACATTTGTTATTATGGGGGTGCTCAAATATGAAAGTGACAGTGCTTTATTGCGTGTGGTTTAGTTGCCATGAGTCAAACGTTAAATTGTTTGTCTTTAGTGACTTGCTGTGCCTTTTCTTGTGATTTCGTATTTTTTGACATTGTTATATTTGTAACAGGAAATCCCATATTGTAGGGCTGCTACTGCAAACTGGATTTGACGTTTAATCGGCTTAACTTTTGTCTTCTGTATCGATCTCGTCGAATCGTCGTTTGCTCTGACTACAATTGCAAACCACGGAGGATATCCCCGACATTTTTGCGTGTTATTCTAGTCTTAGTATTGATATATATGTATAGCGTCAAGTTAGCAAGTCCAGACGGAAAGACAACCAAGGGAACACAGAAAGGTCACATGATGACAAAATGATGTCAAAATAGCATCAATAAAATGACGTTGGCTTGACTTCATTTTGACATCACCTTGTTGACAATTAACGTCATTCGACCTTTTTGTGTTGCCTGGGAATCCGTTCTCTAGTTTATAAGTATCTCGAATTTAGTCGGTTTGCCTTCCTTCACCTTGAGTCATTCGCGTCTGGAAATGCGTTACTTGAGGCCGGTTAACGGTGTTTTTTTTACAAAAAACTTACATTGTTTATGCTAAAAAATTTAACTTTGTTGTGGGAAGAAAATGTGACGTGTTTCGTTCCGGTCGAGTTGGTCATTCCCACGACCACAGTAACTTGGCCTGTAAGTTTTGCGTTTGATGTGCAAAACGTTATGTTTAAGATGTGTATGTGTTTATTTTCTTGCTGCTGAATAATTTCCTTAGTAACGATGCCGTTACCACAGTTATCTTGAACAGTGTCTGATTTTTTTTTTTGGCACATGTTTTTCTTGCACATTCCTATCAGACTGCCGTTTTGTAAGCTTCGTGGAGGCTTTTCATGTTAAAAGTTTATTCGCATTTATCATTAGATTCTTTTAAAAATCGTTATGGGATTCGACGAAAATTTACGTAATTTATTGTTTATATGTACGTACATTGATAGTACTGGCACGAAATTAAATCTATGTCTCTTATTCTTTCTTAGGAAATATGTAAAATTCAGGACTAGAACAAGAACAATCATTATGAGCATATCTGAAGAACTTTGCTCAAAATATTTTCCAATGTTGTCTATAGTACTGGCATAGGTTTAGACTTGCTGTTCAGCAGCCTTTCCCAATTGTGATCCCCGTTCGATGTGATTTGCAATGAAAATTGGACCCATAGAGCTCCCGGAGAGCGCTTCTAGATTTGTCATTAGATTTTCTTGATGATAATTTTTTTAGTTGCATTTTGGATAGTTAACAATTTTTCTGGAATTTCTACTTCCTTAAAGTGATTCAATGTTGTGTGGAACCATCCCTTGAAATGGAAAGTTATGAATCGACTGATAGACTGTTGTTTTTATTTTTCACTCTCTGTTTCATGTTTACTTTCTAGATTATGCCATGTGGCAGAAGGCCACAATTGTTGGGTTTTGCTGATGGCCAATTTTGCTTTTGGAACAACGACTGTGTTTCTTAGATTAATATATAGCCTTAACTTTTTTACTAATTTACTGGAAAATTCACCTTTTTTGTATAGAAAGCAGACTAATGCAGATATAGTGTCCTGCCACACAATCCTATAGTGTTAGTTTCCATACTAATACTGATATTTTTTGTACTTGTTTGCCTTTGTAAATATAGCGCAAAGGAGAAGGTCGGTCGAAGCGTCGAGTGTTTCTACATCCAAATGGAAAGATGAATCAATAAACTATCTGTCCAACGTTAAAACAATAAAGCGCATGTCTTTTCAATTTGTCGACGAACCCTCTCCCACGTTCCGTCGTCACCCATTGAAAGTAGCAGTCACTGTGGTGTGACTGGGTGACTGTGAATGAGACTGGACTCCATAAAGGCATCACGCCCGCTATAAACGTCGACTACCGCCGGCCTCTCTCCCGGGTCGGCCTCAACTCAGCTTCCCATATGAAGCGTCAAAATCGTGTGTGGCAAAATGGTTAAGCACGATATAAAGTGCCACGCCATTGCCATGCTTTGAATAAGGAGATGTTCATTTCAATACACACACAAGCTTGCGACGTCGACGTACACTAAACCTCAATAATTCAGTAACTTTGTTTATTTACGAGGCAGTTAATATGTGTGCATCGAATCTTTACACATTCTTTTCCGTCTTGACGTTCAGGCATGGGACTTCCCCCTTTTCCCGCCGGACGTTACGTTGTGAGGTGCAGCGCGGCCAGACCGGCCCGCGGCCCTCCCGAGCGGCACCCGAATGAGGCCCGATCGCGGTGCGTGACAACGCATTCGACGTCTGAATATATCCTGACGTATGCATCGCTCTCTGCTGCTGGCTGGCTGGCTCCCGGCCCAGAGCTCTCTCTCTCTCTCTCTCTCTCTCTCTCTCTCTCTCTCTCTCTCTCTCTCTCTCTCTCTCTCTTTGAGTGTGGGTGGGGGAAAGAGATAGACAGAGAGAGACAGAGAAGGGGAGAGAGAGAGAGGGGGAAAGGGAAGTCCCTGCTTTCGACCGTGCTGTGCGCGACGCAGCTTCTAGCGCTCGACTTTGCGCTCAGTTCCGGCGGCCCCTGACGCAGATTGGATTATTGATGGGGCCCTGGCCGGGCCTGGCCGGGACGGGCGATAGCAGCAGTGCAGCGCGCCAGGCGATCACGCACTATTAAAGAGAAACGGGCGGCTTGAGGTGAGCCGGGGCACTGGCCACCGGCCCAGCCCAACGGCTGTCACTATTGCGCCTTTTCGGCCGGAAATTCAAAAACCGACTGTCTGCCTGCCTCGGAAAAGGCTTTGCTTAGGGTACAGTATAGGCCTGTCGCCCCACGTTCGGCCTCGACAATAAGTGGCTATCCATACACACCGACAAGCAAAAGGCGACATTGACGGCGTCTCACGGAAGGGTCTCATTCGGGTGATTTGTGTGAATGTCGCGACTTTCTCGACGCCTCACTGACGTGTGAGGTGTGAGGAGCGTAAGCCGCTTATTAGAGCCAGCAGCCCGACGCGTGCCCAGTGGGATCCCGACGACTTAGGAGGCGGGATCGTGCTCAGACTTGTGCCCCCCTGGAGTGAGGAAGGCGAAGGGGACTTCAAATATTGTCGCCCCTTCAGCAGGTTATTCGGGGGTACAGCCGCTCA